GGTTTATTTTTTTTACTAAAAGCAAATATTTCACAAATGGCTCAACCTCTTCATCCACCAAAGTGCAACTGTGAAAAAGCATGCTTGATGCAAAATTGTTGCGATGGTGGTGAAGTTGGACGCCGCTACTGGCGTTGTATGAACCAGTTTTACAAGGTTCCCGGCAAACCTATTTGTGATTTTGAGGAATGGGTTGATGAACCATGTTATAAGGAATGTTACAGAGAACAGCTGCAGTTTCTTCATAATATGTGTTTAACACAACGGGAACATGAAAAAGAAAGCAAATAAAATTATTGCAGACTTGAGGGCGAAACTGAAGGAGGTGGGAGAAGAAAAATGGAAAACACAATGGAATTGTGAAGCACAAAAGGAACGTAAAAGAAATATAAACTGGAACATGCAGAGGTGAAGGCTAAACTGAAAGAGGTGGAAGAAGAAAAAGAACAACTGGAAGAACGATATAAGTGGTTGGAGCGGAGAATAATGGCAACCGGGGCTAAACATTGGCATGTATGTGTTTAGTGTATTTTTCATATTTCATGTATTTTTATTATGTTGGCCTGCTATTTTGTGTTTGTGCTGTAGTAATGTTTTCCTTATTTGTTGTACTAAATTTTATTTTAATTGAAGTGGAAGTTAAGTTTAAGTGCTTGTGTTGTACTAAATTTTATTTTAATTGAAGTGGAAGTTAAGTTTAAGTGCTTGTGTTGTTCAAAATTTTATTTTATGAAACTATCAAACGAATGGAGAACTAAAAAAAGTAATGGGAATATTCGATTAAATATTGTTGTTACTGTATACAAAAATATTATTTACACCATGTCAATGTGTCCCGCATCCGGTGAGTCTCAATGCAGCCGCTGGCCTGAGGTGCATCCCCTCCCGCCCAGGTACGCTATCAGGATCATCATCATCAAGTCATCTCCTTATAGCCGGATGCGGCGCAGGATGAAATGTATCGGTAGTGCTGTCAGCTCCAGTAGAAGGCTACATAATAATATGAAACTTAGTATAGAAAACTACATAACAATTCACAACAATTTATATTGTCTTACCATCATCGTGTCTAGATCCTGAATGTAGTCATCTGTCGCTGCATCGCATGAAGCCTTAAAAAGGAAATTAATAAAGTTAAAGAAAATAAATAAGTTACAGTTAAAACAAATTCAAATTCAATACTAATAAACTCATACCTGCGCATGTGATGTGGAGCCATAACTCAGTCGGCGCCCACTATAAAAATATTGGGTCGGTCGATCCTCAACAGTGGTAGACGGGCCTGGGAAGTATCTACCCCAATCCACTCCTTGAATATCTGAGCCCGTGATCAATAATTGACCCGATGGGGTCACCTGCGATGGCACTGGAGTGCGATAAATTCCAAGGCTGTAAGACAGCATGTCCGTCTCATGCATGCCTCCTGCCATATCAGCAACAACATCATCAGCAGGAGCCTCAACGCCTCCTTACTGGGGACCACCTCCTCTCCGCCCACGACCACGTCGTCCGGCACCACCAGTTCACCAGCTCGTGGGATACCACGACCTCGATGGTACTGCGCTGGGTCCATATAATCAGCCTCGTATGCCAAACGCTGATCCGATCGGGCTCGCTGCAGTGTCTGGCCAGCCACATCCATGAGTCGACGACTATACTCCTGCATGGCCACAGGATCGTGGACATGACTCTGCATCTGCTACCCCATATGATAGACGGTATGCAATCCAATTGCCTGCACAAAGTAAAAAATATAAACTACACATTTGGTACTAAATTACATGTATATAATTAATAATAACAGAAAACATACCAGGGCCTCGTGTCTCCCGGCGTATGGGACATACCGACCGTGTGCCTGATGAACTGGATTCCCGATAAAAAGTCGGGAAACAGTGCGGTACCATGCCATATAACGTTGAATAGGAAAGTGCTGCGGAGGTGGGGTCAAGTCCCCTCGCTTGTCCCAAGTACCCAACTGCTCGTTAAGCCATGCCATAAATGTGTCGCCCGCCCTGGACCGATCATCCGTCTCATAATGTAAAGCATGCCATGCAGTCAGAGTCGGTATAGGCTACGGCAGTCCAAACTGACGAAATACCCGCTCGTAGGCATGATGCTCGACAATATCGAGGCATATGAGCGGGGCAGAAGCCCTCCAAATATGTCGACCGAACGTGCAATACGCTAGCAGGGTACCTATCACCTCATCGTTGTACGGCGTCCAGATAAACTATCAAATAAGAACACAAACCGTTAGTATGCGCAACACTAAGTTAGTCTATAACAGGTAAGTTTAGTTAGATATTCACCTATGCGTCCTCCAGCAGATCCAACACATCCCTGCAGAGGGGGAGATTATGATGGACATCATACTCTCGTGCAAGAGTACGACGCATAACCCACCTACAGGCTAGAGGGAGTTGCGGAATTTCTACATTAGCCGGTAGTTGTGGTAGTGGTGGCCGAAACTACAAAAATCGCTCCCAGACCCAAACCTAACATACAAAGTTGACGTAAAGTATAAGATTAACTATAACTAGGTAGAATTGTAACTAATGGACATATTATTTGAATATGTTGTCACATGTAGAAGCGGCATAAAGCCACCAACGTCTTTCTGTGTGCCGATGCAAGCCGGACACATCTGCCTGTATAGATATGAGATGACAGCACCACCCCAGCTGTAGATGGTTATATCCTCGAACCGAGCAATATGATGCAGAAAACGGAGGCTCACTAGGTTCCCCGAAGTGTTCAGAAACAAGACCCCCCCCAAATAGAAGGAGCAACAACAACCTCGTATATCGCTGTACATCCACCTCCACTGACTCGTCGGTGATAGCATGGTGGATCTGCACCAGGTGGTCTCTAATGGGGACCAACTGTATACGACTGGACCTAGACGCTACCTCCTCGTCCTCCGGCATGAAACCCGTGAGCATGTGCAACATATCCCAATATACCTGCCGCGAATAATATCTCATGGTCGCAGGCAGTAAAACTGGCAAGCCATCAGCGGACAGGCCATATAAAATCTCAGCGTCCTGGAGTGTGATGGTGGCCTCGCCGATGGGCAAATGGAAAGTGTGCGTCTCCGGTCGCCACCGCTCAATCAAGGCCGTGATCAAAGCATAGTCGAGCTGTATCCGGCCAATCCTAATAATCCTATATAATCCCATCTCCTCCAGGTAATGGACCACGCGGGGATGTAGAACGCGGGGAGGACTCAAAAACTCCCACAATAGATGCACTCTCCTGGCCCGGAAAGTCTGCGTAAGCAACTGTCCGTCCTATATATACTCAGATCTATGCTGGGGATGTAGGGCTAATAGATCCAACGTTCGAGGGTCGGGATGTATAGTCGCGTCCATGTCGTCAACTGTAAATTGATATTTTTTAATAACTTAATTGTACAATATATATATGGGTTCCGGGCTCGATATTTTGAGGCCCAGTGGCACCAAACTATCATTAATAATTATGTGTTTTTTTATAATTTAAATTCATATTTTTTAATAACTTAATTGTACAAATTACTAATTATGTGTGTTGATACAATTATTAACTTAATTGTACAAAGTTTGCATTTTCAACTACCAGTATAAGATACTTAAACAAAAGGAATTCTAAGCTAAAATACTACATATTACTACGCTACAAGGCTCTAAATTTTACTACGCTAAAAGGGTCTACGTTTTACTATGCTTAAAAGGTCTAGATTTTACTGCGCTAAAAAATAATCTAAACTAAATATAAACAACAAATAAATTTAATTGCAAATAAAACACAAAACGGCATGAAAACACATACAAATCAAATAATATGCATTATTATAAAAGTTTCAACTTAAAATAAACTGAAATACCTCGATTTAGAATTTTCGGAAAGCAAATAGATTGAAATTTTGACTTCGAAAGTATGAATCAACAATAATACGAAGCTCTACTCGAATGTGGGACCTACGTTCTACAACTTTTATGTGATGGGGGGAACCATAAATTACTTTTTTTAAAATCGTGGGCAGCGGGTATGGGGGACCAAGAAGAAAGAGGAGTAAAATATTGAGGAGGAGAATAGAACGACGATAAAGAAGACGGTTCTATTTTTAAAAATTTATGTATAACACCAGGTATTATGGCGCTATACCTGGGCGTGTCAGCTTTTTCAGTATAGTGCCACAATACTTGGCGCTATACATTAACGACACAGTTAACGTTAATGTATAGCGTCAAGTATTGTGGCACTATATATAAAAATGTCACCTTCTTTTTATCACCTATTTATGTTTTTTGAGTCCAAAAGAACCACAATTGGGTTCCGGACTCCTGCAAAAATACTTCTTCAGAACCCCGTTGCTATTTATAAAAAAAAAGTAGTTCAGCGCACAAGATATCCCGCATTTATATAGGGATCGGGGAAGGGCCTTACGCCAGGGGACATGATGTAGACAATTTACCCTAATGCAAGCATTAGTGGCGGCTTCCAAAACTCGAACATATGACCTATAAGTCATATGGAGACAACTTTACCATTGCTATTTATATTATATTAAAAATCTTTTACCAATCAAAGCTTTAGTGCAACTGGAAGAGTTACTGTCACGTAAGATTACAGATTCAAGTCGTGAAAATAGCTTTGCATAAAAACATGCAAAGCACTTTTACATACAATATATTCAATGTGATTCGTCCCTTCTCCCGACCCTACCCACAACGAAAGCCTAAGTAGACCGAGTTGTCCTTGTATTAAAGATAAAAAGGAATACCAGTCACCAGGGCTGCATTTTGGGGTTAGCTATAGGGAGGTGAGTGGTCCAAAAGTAGTGTTTTTAGGGGGGGTGACAAAAGTAGGGCATAGGACCAACGGAAGAAAGAACAAAAGAGACTCAATGCCCTTATACAAGACTAATCCCTAAACAAAAGCAATTTAGTTTCTTGATTTCCACACATTTCAGGTGCCTTTGTTTTTCTATTTCCCCCATAAATAATCTCCTTTCTTCCAATTCTTCCCCACACAATTCAAAAAACAAATTAAGCCACACCAATTGAAGCTTTTCCCCCATAATTCTTCTTATATCAAGAACCAAAATGGCTCTGAAGAAATCAAGCAAACACTTTACTCAAACTGCAGCCTTCAAACAAATTATGAAAAGGTGTTCAAGGTTTGGAAAGAATGAGAATGGATACCCTCAAGATGTCCCAAAAGGCCATTTTGTAGTATATGTGGGTGAAAATAGAAGCAGATATATAATTCCCATTTCTTGGTTGACACATCCTGAATTCCAAAGTTTGCTTCAAAGGGCTGAAGAAGAATTTGGATTCAATCATGATATGGGACTTGCTATCCCTTGTGATGAAGACGATTTTTGCTCCGTAATTTCAATGTTCAGATAAAAAAATTGAAGGCCCTTGATCTTTCCTTACTATATATTTTTTTACTTGAAATTTTTCGGTGGGCCACGACGACTACTAATTAGATGAAAAGGAAAACTGCGTACAATAAACCTAATGTTGTCCAATCCTTCTTTGGAGTCTAGATCACGCGCACAACAGGAGCTTAGTATATATGCCGAGCTTGCCCTTCTCTGGAGTCTGAATCACGCTTACAAGGACAGGAGCATAGTGTGCCGACCTGGCCCTTGTCTAGAGTCTGGATCACGCGCACAAGTACAGAAGCTTAGTACACCGGGCTGGCCTTTAACTAATCAAACACTACTGAAGATGATGATGATCAAGCTTGGTTGAGCAACTAAGTTAGGCAATTAAGTGAAAATTATATTTTTTTTTAACTAATTAGGAAGAAACCCCATCAAATTCTTTAGGGGTGAGTTTATACAATCACATGTACTTAATATAGTGTTAAATTTGCACCCGTTTAAAAATTCTGGTATTACTGTTCAACAATAACAATAATCCAGTATAATCCCACAAGTAGGGTCTGGGGAGGGTAGTGTGTACGCAGACCTTACCTCTATCCTAGGGTAGAGAGGTTGTTTCCAATAGACTCTCGGCATCCTTCCCTCCAAGAACTCCCTACTTTGCTCTTGGGTGACTCGAACACACAACCTCTTGGTATTACTGTTCATGAGGAAAAAAAGAGAGATATTTCACCAATAGATTTTTTGCAACTGTCCGCTTGTGTTAGAATTGGAACCTGATAAATTTCTACGTGACGTTTATGAATTAATGACAAAAATAAAATTAATTCCTTCTTTCTTCATCTTGGTCAAAGATAGTGTGTGGCAAAACAATCTTTGTAATACCAAGGTATTTTGTGGTAGATTGCGTTGCATAGAAGGTTGACTTTTTATTTCAATCAATGCGACGATTCCCTTTATCTAAAATTCTTTGTATGACACTTTAATTTATAAATATTTTTTGTCATGCGACATAAAAGCATAACTTCAAAAACTCTTTAGAAAATGAGGTATTCAACGTGACTAAGGTAAATGATCACTAGAGGCGCGCAAATGCAATCTACATACAATGGGCTCAAGTTCAAATGAACCTAGCATTTTCAGTACATATAACATAAATACATATTATAAAAAGCTATAGAGTACTAAAATTTCGACAAATATCAAATTTTGAATCCATACTTTAAACATACAAGATATTCATACTAAGAGCTTTAAATATTAATATTTATAAAGTTTAAATTCTATATTCACCTCTCTTAACCACTACTTTCGTTTATCAAATTTAAAGTGGGTGAATAAAAAGATGTATACTTCCACTAGTACGAGTTGAAGCCATCACTGTTGGAAATTTCTGCTGGAATTTTGGGAACAAATAGGTCCCATATTGCCTTGTACCCACTGACATGACGGCTAATGACTTGCTTATTCTATGGTCTTACATTTCTTATGCTTTTTTTTTCCTTCCAATTTTTAAAATTTTATGAATTGAAAAAGAAATATTACTGTTTATTGATATCCAACTTAAAGTATATATATTCATAAGCATATTGCCTCGTATTTTACTCATGTTTCGTATATTTCGGATGTTTAATTTAATGATTTGTGCAAATTAGCGATACTTTTATGTGTAGGAATCATCCGGAGGCAATTTAGGATGAAGGTGCATGGATTGAAGCGAAAAGGGGAAGAAAAGAGAAAAATCCACAAGCGCCACCGGTAGCATGGGGCGCTACCTATGGTGTAGTTTCCAGAACCTCCGAATTTCCAGCGCCAGAGCTAGCACCCCACGCTACCCTGGGTGCTGGTGACGTGAATTTGTCCTATTTCGCCCGGGACTTGGTTATTTTGATCCCAAGATGCCCTCAACTCGTATAAAAGCAAACTGAAACCTATTTTGGCGAAGGAGACGCGACTTTGAGAAAGAAATACAAGTACAAAACACTCGAGGGCATGGAATTCGTCAATTCTTCCATTCTTCTTCTAGTATTCATAGCTTTTATGTTTTAAAATAATATTTTGATGATTGTTATGAACATGAATGGCTAAGAACCTCATTACTCTGCGGTTATGGGTCGTTCTTGACTATTGTAAATTGACGGTTGATTGTTTTGCTTGAGTTTATCATATTAACTTATTTATTCAATCTTGCACTTAATTATTCTATTGCGTGATTAACAATAGAGTACTATCTATGAATTTATAGTTGAACTCGAAAGTGGGAACTATAAATTACATATAGGATTGAATAGAGTATGTTCTTGAATTCAGGCATCGGAGAATAGATTCGTGATTAGGATATACGTATTCTAGTTGCCTTACTTGGTTATTTTTGCAGGAAATATACATGCGTTCTTGTCAAGTTTGATTCTATAGACATATAGTCTTAGGTTGGCTTGAATAGGTGAGCGAAGCGTTGAAAGAACTTTGCGAGCATAATAAACCCTACTAATAAATAAATTAGATAAGTCAAGTGACTAAATCAACCTGAAAAACGCAATCGGAGAGACATCAATCTCATAACTCTGGAATATCCCTATCTGAGTGAATTTTTCCTAAGTGCTTGTTTGCTCTACTTGCGATCTTATTTTCTTGCTTGCTTATTAGTCGTAGTAATTTAGTTATAAAAATCACAATCATCTTCGTCACAGTCACTTGAGCATTAAATATATTAATAGCTTAGATTGGAGAATAATTGATCATAAATCCTCGTGGGAACGATAATTTCTTATTATTTTATTACTTGCCGACTGCGTATACTTGTGTGTGTGTTTGGACCCAAGAAGTTGTTGGTGCCGTCGCCGGTGATTTAGAAATTAGTTATTTGTCTAAAATAAGCATTTATTTATTTTTGTTCAAGTGTTAATCTGTTTGACTGTTTCTGACTCTACAGGTGTTCACTTTGAATGCTAAGAAGAAACAACAGTTTGAACGACCTTCCTCTTCCTGATCCTAAACTCGAAAGACTCTTCTAGAGGTTAAGGAGGGAGGCGGAAGAAAGAGCAAGCATTGCATAGTTGGGTATTATAGTGCAACCACAACCAATCGAGATGGCAGAAAATGAAGAAAGACCGATGATTGAGGCTGTAAGGCCTAGTCTCACGAACATGACTCAGGCTATTTTGAAGCATGATATAATTGGGTACTTTGAGCTGAAGCAATATATGATACAACCGATTCAATCCACAGGGCTATTTGTGAGGTTGTCAAGTGAAGATCCCCATAGGCATATGCATAATTTCCTATAGATTACACATATATACAATTATCCGAATGTCTCTAAGGGCTATGTCATACTGACTTTGTTTTCCTTTTCTCTAATGGGGGAAGCAAAGGAACGGTTAAACAAGGAGCCCGCAAAATTGATCCACAGTTTGGATGATCTGGTACGAAAATTCTTAATCAAGTTTTTTCCCACTAAGAAGACAAAGGCACTGAGGAGCCAGATTCTTGGGTTTCAACAACGACATGGTGAGACTTTTCGTCAAGATTGGGAAAGTTATAAGAAACAACTCAGAGACTGCCCACATCATTGTCAGATTGATGAGGTGTTGGGACATACTTTTGTGAATGGGTTGGATGAGACCTCCAAATTAAATCTAGGCTTAGCTTGTGGAGAAAGTTGCGTGCAAAAGTCATACAGTGAGATTCGAACCCCACTCAACAATTTCACTGCAAATGATCGTAATTGGCAGGGTGAAGGTGACTCAAGAAGTGTGGAATTGTTCATATGAGTGACCAATGTCCGGTGAATCCTGAATTTATCTATTATGTGGCCATCAAGGTAAAGGTCCAATGAACCAGAATAATCAATATGGGAATACATATAATCCCAACAAGAGGAATCACCCGAATTTCTGATGGGGTAGGAACCAGATCACTCAAAATCAATACAGGCCTCAAGGAAATTATAATCAGCCCCAAAACTACCTCAACATGTAGAAGAAAGCACTAATGATATGTTGAAGAAGCTATTGATTGAAAACCAGCAACTTCAAATAGATAATTAGTAATTGAGGACTAAATTTTTGAAATATAGAAAAGGCAGATTGGGCAGTTGGTTGCACAACAAAATACTCGACCTACAGGGACCCTTCCCAATGATACAGATAAGAATCCTTAGGTAAATGCTGTAACTTTTAGCAATAGCAGAGAATTAGAAGAAGTCCCAAAAAGAAAAAAAGAATGCAAGTCACTCATAAGGGTGACCTGATTCCCAAAACTGTGGGAGAAGCTGAGAAAGAAACTGAAGAAAGTGAAAAAACTCCGATTGCAAGGCCACTACCTCATTTCTCACAAAGATTGAAGAAGAAAAGTGATGATATGATGTTCAATAAATTTCTTGATATGCTGAGCCAAATTCAGTTGAATCTCCCATTGGGTGATGTGCTACATGAAATCCCAAAATAGACTAAGTACATCAAAGATATTGTGGCTAACTAAAGAAGGTTGACAGAGTTTGGGACAGTGTCACTAACTGAGGAGTGTAGTGCTAGAGTAAAGAGTAAGCTCCCACCTAAGTTGAAGGATCCCGATTGTTTTACAATCCCCCTGACGATTGGAAAACACGAGGTTGGTAGAGCCTTGTGCAATCCGAGAGCAAGCATTAATTTGATGCCACTATCTGTCTTCAAGCAGCTCGATCTTGGAGCCCAAGGACTATTAGTGTAACTCTACAACAAGCAAATCGGTCACTTGCGGTGCCTAAAGGAATTATTGAATATGTGCTGGTGCGAGTGGGGAAGTTAATCTTTCCCATCGATTTCATTATTCTTGATTATATGACCGATGAGGAGGTTCCAATTATTTTGGGGCGACCATTCCTAGCTACTGGTGGAGTACTTATTAATGTGAGGGAGGGTAAACTAAAGTTGAAAGTGCATGATTAAGAAATCACATTTAATGTGTACAAAAAGCTTAACCTTCCTAAGCATTATGAGGATTTGTGCATGATCTCTGCGGTAGAATCAAAGTTGATAGTGCAAGGTCCTTATATAGAGCCAACTGGCATGGAAAAATAAAATTGACTTAGAAAAAGTGGTGTTATGAGCTGAATGTATAAAGGTAAAAGAGAAAAGGGTCAGAGAGTAAAGATGAGATCCTCCTAGAGCACACAAGAAGGCAAAACTCCATGAAAAGAGGATGAAATGAAAGCGCCCAACTTGAGTAGACTAGTAGAGTCGTGCCACGATTATAAATAAGGCACTTTTTGGGAGGCAACCCAACATGTATTTTATTTATTCTTATTTTTATTTTTTTAGTGTTATATTTTTGTTTTTATTTCACAGATTAAGGGAAGTCTGATTACCCGAAGTTGAAGCTGGGGAGCATGTTTGAGCTTAACTGAAGC